ATTTAATTTTGAGTTTAATTTGAAATAAGGGGCTTTATGATTATTTTATGACTTTTTGGGTGTTTGATAATCTAGCTATGATAAAACCTACTCATAAGTAATTGATTTTTTGCTTTAACTTAATTGATTGAAAATGTTAGTTTTCACTTTGATGTTTTAGTAGAATAAGCGGTTATAATGATTTTCTTACACATACTGGAAAAGTGCTCATGAAGAGATGATCTATTGTGAAAGGTGAATCAGTGTAGTAAAAGGTCAATGCAAAAAATGCTTATAGACACAGACAACATGAAGATTGACTTGTAGGTCACAGTTAAGACACATTTTGCTTGGAAACTTTTGCACTTGCATAGCAACAGTTTTTTTAATGCACGCTTACGGAAACAAATATTACGTAGATTCATTTGTGGGGTAGAGATGAAAAACATTTTTCTTTGTTTTCGCTTAGCAAGCAGTGATGGTGTGATAGATAAGCATGCCCTGAATAGGTCGACAGGAAACATCTGGAGACAGAGCAAATGTTGTAGAGCTTGTAAATGTATGTGTGACTGAAAAGAGGAAGTAAGTTGAGTACAGGACGTGCTTGAGATGATCAGATAAGAGAAGAAGAGAGTTTCTTAAAAGGGTGTCAAAGGTTGTTCAAAGTGTAGCTTACCCAAATAATAATAATCATCAGTAATTAGTTACTGATTACTTTTTCAAGTAACTTGACCAACACTGGTTTTGAAACACAATTTTAAAAAAGGAAAATAAGTAAATGGTTTCAAAAATCAAAGATTTGTTTCTGGCACTAAAATGACACTTCCACTCCTCATTTGAAAATCCATTTGTCTTTCCTGTTAGTTCATCGGATAATTATTATATTAGTAAATAGATTAAGCCTCGGGATTTACACTCTGCCCGACACAGATATGTGAAGAATGAAGGGACCCTGCAGTGAAAGGGAGAGCTGAAACTCAGAGTGTGCGCCCATGGACTCAGCCTGACCCCTTTAAGGTAACATGCAAGCATAGCTAACACTAGTGTCACCGCATGTTAGTGTAATATTAGTGTGAAACATCAACAGGGGTGAAATGACAGAAAATTTCTGTTAAAAGAAAAAAAAACAAATAAGGAAGAAAGCAAACACTTTTTGCAAATAGTATTTAACTATAAGTGCTGAAAGTTATTAAATTCAATGGGCACCAATGCACATGTACTTACAGAGCTTTTTTGGACGCTTTGACCACTGGCAGCAGCCTGAGAAGAGCCTCCTCTGAAGCAGAGTATTTCTTCAGGTCAAACACATCCAGATCTTTTTCTGATGACAGTAAGATGAAGACCAGAGCTGACCACTGAGCAGGATACAGTTTATCTGTGGAGAGACTTCCTGATCTGAGGGACTGTTGGATCTCCTCCACTAGAGAATAATCATTCAGTTCATTCAGACAGTGGAACAGATTGATGCTTTTCTCTGCAGACAGATTCTCACTTAGCTTCTTCTTGATGTGCTGGACTGTTTCCTGATTGGACAGTGAGCTACTTCCTGTCTGTATCAGCAGACCTCGTAGGAGACTTTGATTGGTCTGCACTGAAAAACCTAGGAGGAAGCGAAGGAACAAGTCCAGGTGTCCATTTGGACTCTGTAAGGCCTTGTTCACAGCACTCTGGTGGAGAGATTGAAGGTTTGGTTTACTAATTAATTTAGACCACATGAAGGTTGTTTGTTGTTCTTCCAGCAGATTGAGTCCAGAGTTGATGAAGGTCCGATGGACATGAAGAGCAGCCAGAAACTCCTGAACACTCAGATGGATGAAGCAGAACACCTTGTCCTTGTACAGTCCTCTCTCCTCTTTAAAGATCTGCGTGAAAACTCCTGAGTACACTGAGGCTGCTCTGATATCAATGCCACACTCTGTCAGGTCTGATTCATAGAAGATCAGGTTTCCTTTCTGCAGCTGATCAAAAGCCAGTTTTCCCAGAGACTCAATCATCTCCCTGCTCTCTGGACTCCAGTGTGGATCTGTCTCAGCTCCTCCATCATACTTGACCTTCTTTACTTTGGCCTGAACCACCAGGAAGTGGATGTACATCTCAGTCAGGGTCTTGGGCAGCTGTCCTCCCTCTCTGGTTTCCAGCACATCCTCCAGAACTGTAGCAGTGATCCAGCAGAAGACTGGGATGTGGCACATAATGTGGAGGCTTCGTGATGTCTTGATGTGGGAGATGATCCTGCTGGCCTTCTCCTCATCTCTGAATCTCTTCCTGAAGTATTCCTCCTTCTGTCGGTCAGTGAACCCTCTGACCTCTGTCACCATGTCAACACAGTCAGGAGGGATCTGATTGGCTGCTGCAGGTCGTGTGGTTATCCAGAGGCGAGTATTGGGAATCAGGTACCCCTTGATAAGGTTTATCAGCAGCACATCCACTGAGATGGACTTTCTAGGGTCAGTTAGGATTGTAGTTTTGTGGAAGTCCAGAGGAAGTCGACACTCATCCAGACCATCAAAGATGAACACAACCTGGAAGTCTTCAAAGCAGCAGATTCCTGCTTCTTTGGTTTCAGTAAAGAAGTGATGAACAAGTTCCACCAAGCTGAACTTTTCCTCTTTCAGCACATTCAGCTCTCTGAAAGTGAATGGAAATATGAAGTGGATGTCCTGGTTGGCTTTGCCTTCAGCCCAGTCCAGGGTGTATTTCTGTGTTAAGACCGTTTTCCCAATTCCAGCCACTCCCTTTGTCAGCACTGTTCTGATTGGTTCATGTCTTCCAGGTGAGGCTTTAAAGATATCTTCTTGTCTGATTGTTGTTTCTGGTCTGTCTGGTTTCCTGGATGCTGTTTCAATCTGTCTGACCTCATGTTCATCATTGACTTCTGCAGTTCCTCCCTCTGTGATGTAGAGCTCTGTGTAGATCTGATTCAGAAGGCTTGGGTTTCCTGCTTTAGCAATCCCTTCAAACACACACTGGAACTTCTTCTTTAACGCAGATTTAACTTTACGTTGACAAACAGCAATAACATGATCTGAATGATGACAGATTATCGGTTAATTTTTTATAAAATCCATATGAGAACTTATTTTTTTTTAAAATGTAATACATGCTGGTTTCTTGATACATTTCTATAAATGTCTTATCTCTTAAATCTTAAATCTCTTAAGACATTAGTAAATTTTATATTCATCCAGCAGCTTGAATCTTAAGAGAAATTCTCTTACTTCTCTGCAGACGGTCAGCCAGCTCCTTCTGCTTCATTCTCCTCAGGAAGTCCACTGTGATTTTCACAAATGCCTCTCTGCTGCTGCTCCTCTGCTCATCATCCTCCCTCTGACTCTCTAAGCATTCTGGGTAATCTGGACTCAAAACGTTCTGGATCTTCTTCAGCTCGTTCTTCACAAAAGTAATGATGTTGTCCTCCAGCAGCTGGAACAGAATACTTTATGAATGAGCCAATCAGACTGAAATCATGGAGCCAAACATCAGATCCATGTTGGACACACTGACAATCCACTGGTCTACAAAGAGCAGCATGGAGATGACTGTGAACAAAATAGATGTAAAAGTAGTTGTTGTACATGTACAGACCATAAATATGGAGTCCAGGTGTGTTTGATGCTGCTGGGCAGAGTGACCACTGGGAACCTCTGAGCTCTCCTTGTCCACTCTGTGGAGGAATCATCAATAATTATTTCAAGCACAGGATAAAGGTCAGTTGGTTACTTGGTACCCTTGGTTCTCTGAGTAAAACAATATCTCTTCACTCCGTTACCTATTTCATATGTGCGGGGTATGAGCCCCTTTGGTCATGGCAGGTGAATACTTCTTTAAGACACTTTGGCTAGCCCGGCCCCAAAGCTTAACTATAAAACAGCTGTGCAGACCTGAACGGTGATGTTTTTTCTTTTGGAACGTGTCTCTTGAAGCTAAAGAGACAGACTCTAAATCAGAGAATCAAGGTACAAAGTCACCAGCCGTTCTCAATATATCAATATCTCTCGGATCCATTACATCTTCCATATGTATGGGGTAACTTTTTAAGACACCCCAAGTGGAGACAGTGCAACCAAAATTGTACAGTGTTGCAAACAACTATTCACAAATATGCATATATACAACCTGGCCCAATGAACGCCCTCAGATGCAAAGGGGGTGAAGGCATCACTCTGCAGCAAGAAGAAAGGCCTCAGCAAGTCCTTTTAGAGCACGCACCACAATGGAGCAGGCCTCTTTGGCTGGCCCGCAAGATGCTAAGCTGGCTTGGTGGTGGTGCTGGGGTGGTGGAGGGGTTCAGGCCCCGAAAGAGGAGCTAAGTGCCACACTCAGACAGTAGTCCGGGAAGAGTGTGGTGATACGCCAGACGGAATACAGCCTGGAACAGCAAGCACGGAGTGGAGAAAATCCTGGAAGGCTGCAGAGACAGGCTTCCCACCACAAAGGTAAATGGACAACACGGTACCGCACACAGGCATACACACACACTACCAAGTGGAGATCAAGCAATCACCAGTTTAAAGTCTGCACAGCTGTTTTTGTAGTTAGGCTGTGTTAGACCCTATCTCAGGTTCTAAAAATATTGGGTATTTTTAGTCTATTTTTATTGACTCAGTGGTGATGTCAGGGATGATGTTGCAGAATCTCAAAATAAACTTTGAGACTACATTAAACTGAACTATTAGAGCTTAGTCAATTCCGGTCGATACTTTACTCAAAGCCATGTTTAAGTATTTGTTATTATCTTTATTTCATGTTTCTAGTTAGAATCTTGATTATTTTATGTTGTAATGTAATTTACTATGCTCCATAAATTTATCCTGCTATGTTAATCTATTGTGTTGTTGTAAATTGTTGGTGTGTTTGGGAAAGCTGGTGTGTATTGAGCGGCCTCATGTGATGATGAAAAGTAAAACAAGTAAGCAGGACGTGGAGCAACAGTTTTCCAACCGTCGCTTTGATAGTCGTTTTAGATGTAACATCATAGAAATTTAAACAAGCTCCCACTGAAGGCATTTGTTTTGTACTTTCCGGTTGTGTGTGGAGTAAATAAATGTTTTCCTTTTTTATATTCACTTTGTTTTTTGCTACTGAAAGACATGCAAGTGATCCAAGATACACACAAGTGAGAAACTTTATGTCCTGCAGAAGCGGCAAAGAAGGACCGAAGATTGCTGCCAAACTGAACCATCAACGAACCCTAAAAGCAGTGACCACTGCTCCAAAACCAGAACATTATCCAAGGTCTCTCTTCCTCCACCATAACACCAGCTTTAGAAACTCAGTAGATTAGTGTAGTATGGGTGATTAATAACTGATGAGTCATTTTGTGAAAACTTACTATTTTGAGGATTTTTTTGTTATTATTTTATTCTTAGGATTTTCTTTTTGATTTTTTTAAATTCTGAGGATTTTTCAGGTCATATTTACCCAGGAAAACACAAACATCTAAAGGAGCTCATCACAGTTCTCTGACCTCGTTGGTCCAGGTTCAGCACTGAAGTTTGGATTGCTATCTTTTGACCGGTCACTCCTCACAGACAGACAGCTGGACCCTGCAGACTTTGACCCCTGACCTCTACAGACACAAACATGTTTTATTAAATGATAAATTCTCTGATAAAGTCATTGTAGCAGCTGTGATCACACAGACTGCAGATAATGCAGCTGTTTCCCAAGAACTCACCGAGTTAACAGAAATAATTCTGCACTGACATTATAATTAGTGTTAATTCTGGTTGATTTCATTACTGTGTTTGTGTGTTGAGAGGAAATGAAAATTAATTTCTAACAAAACTCAGTTTTGTCCAGTTTTCCTGTAAAAAGTTGTACTCTAATCTGAGAGGATTGTTAGTGACAGGAGTTCAAAGCTTCTTGCTTTGGCTCTTGATGGAGGAGGTCACATCTTCTCCCTCTCCCTCACCTTGTCTTTCCTGCGTGGCTTCTCATGTCTAGTCTTGTCTAACTAACTTGTCTAACTTGTCTAACTCGAACTCATGTCATGTGATTTTTACATGGTGTAAGTTGTGAAGATTCATGTGCTTTTCTGTGCTGAGGTGTTTTTTTACTGTCCTCAAATTGCTCTCCCAGTTAAAAGTTCAGTTTGAGTAGAGTTCTTTTTTTCTCCTCTTGTCCCCGGTGTTGTGTATTTTCATTGTTATTCTTACTATTCTACCTCTCTCCGACCTGTCTTCCCAGTGTGATGTTTGTGCTATGTATGTATGGTTGGTAGGGGTCCAGTTTCACAGCAGGTAACTACCTTTGCATGTGATAAATAAAACATTGATTGATTGATTGATTGAGTGCAGTTTTCTGACCTCGTTGGTCCAGGTTCATAAGTGAAGTCTGGAAGATTTAGACCTTTGCATCGATCACTCCTCACAGACGGACAGCTGGATCCTGCAGACTCTGCTCTGTCCTCCTCTTCCTCCATCATTATCTTCTTGTGGACTTCAGTCAGTCTGAGAGGTAAACAACAAACGCTCAGTGAGTTCACATTAACAGAAGTAACTGAGTTACAGTTGCTAACCTCTGACCTGTTATATAACCTAGAAACTGTCAGGATCTGGAGACTCGACAGGAAAGTTCTATCAGGCACCTGAGTTTCTTGGTCTCCACTCCTGGGCGGAGCCATTATCCCTGCTACACTCCTCCACACCTGAGACTGATTTGGGGCAATCAGGTTGAGGATTTAAGACCCCCTCAGACTCTCCTTCACCGCCAGTTCGTCAACGGCCTCACGTTGGTATTGACTCTATGGCGTTTTACACTCTTGCCACTTTTTCATTGGTAACCTTGGTTTCATGTGCTTCAGATTTCCTGGACCTCCTTTGTCATCACCCTCAACCCCAGCTCTCCTCGGATTATATTCATATTCAGGAAGAATACAAGGACCCTCACCTGCCTGCCCTCCAGCCTCACTCACCACCTCGGACACAGCGGAACTCAGGTCTGCCAGCCTTTCCACTACTCCCGTGGACTATCACCGCCTCTCCCTCAAAGCGAGGTTCACGCCGGTCACCAACGCAACCGCTCCGTTCCCGTCGCAACCTGCTAAATCCCCGTTCACCCCCACTGACCCACGGCTACATCGTTAGCAACACCTTGTCACGGATTCACTTGTTGACTAAATAATAAACACTGCAAAACGTTTGAGCCGTCTCTGTTTGTGGTTTTCTGCAATCGAGTCCAATTTAGCCCGTCTCCCAGAGTCCTGCAATTTTGGGTCCACCACTTCTGCTTACCTGCCACACAGCTAACTATGATAGAAGGTCGCGTCGTTCTGTCATGGTTGGCTGAATAAACTGAAAACACAGCTTTATTGCTGGAGGAATGATTCACAGAATAAAACTTACAAAACCAAAACAAAACTCTAAACCGAGGTGCTGGAGGACTGAACATTACAAACACACAGCAAGTTGAGGGTACGACGTGACAGGGAGCACAGGAAAACACAGGGCTTAAATACACATGGGAGTAATTAGGAAATGGGCAACAGGAGGGAGACACAGCTGGGAGAAATTAGGCTAACGAGACAGGAGAAAGGTAAAACTGAACACATTGACATGAGACATGAACTTTCAGAATAAAACAGGAAACTAACAGATACAGAGAACCAGAATGGACACTGAACTTGGCAGGCAGACTCACGAGCAGACACAGTGACACCATGGACAGACAGAGGGAACACAGGCAGGCATGAAACAAACACACTAACACATAGCAAACCTAAACAAAAGACAAGGCAGAATAAACAAGAATATAAAGAAACACAAAACACCAAGTCCTCAGACTCAGGACCATGACAGAAATGGCAGACAGAAGGGGGACACAGCTGAACCTAATAGACATGATGAGGCAAGGAGGAAGCAAAACAGAATACCACACATGGACCGTTAAAGTAAAACAAGAAACACAGAACACACGGAAGCCACATGACAAAACTTACGAAGTAGAAATACAAAAACAGAAATTATCACACTAGCAGTTGAACGCTAAATAAAATGAAGATCTATACTAATACAAACCCCGAAACACTGGGTCACTGAGCCAGGACCGTGACAGGTGGAGAGTCCCAGATATTTAAACCCTCGAGGGAAAGAAAGAGGGTCACTGACCCACTATTGATCATGTGATGAGTCACATTGATCATGTGAACACTATAACAACAATATAAACACTTATTTCAAGGACGAAACTGAGAGCTTTTTCACCAGGAACACAAACATCTGGAGCAGCATATAGATGCTGTTGGTTGAGATCCTGAAGACTGTAGTCCAGGCAGCTCCAGCAATGATCCACTGTTCCATGTATAAATGCTTTTATTGACAGAGATGAAGTTTGTGTCTCAGTGACGTAGTGACTGTTGTTGTTAACTGTACAGGCTGGTTAGACTCTGTAAAACAGGTCATACAGATGAATTGGTCTGACTGAGAATGTTAGAAGAAACGATTAAAGGTAATGAATGAGAGAAAGGCAGGGAGGTCTTTTTTTAATTTTTTTTTTAAGTTATGTCTCTAAGAGCTCTTAGCCTTAGCTTAGCATTAGCATGCTCTTTGGCAGCTTAGCAGTAGAGCTCTTCAGAGCCTCCTCCTGAGGACCCGGTCTTCTGAAAAACCATCCTACTTTGGCAAAACGTCCTACAGTAAGTAGTTTATGCACATTTCTGCTGTCACAGAGTAATTCCAGCACAAATTTAAGTAGGTATGACAGTTTGCCACATAACGTTGCCCATCAGAGTATGCTTGTAGCTTATAAGAAACCATCCTGGCTTTATTCTTAAAGCCAGGATGGTTTGTGAAGATATGCGTACCTATTTTAGAGTTTAGAAATGTGTTAGAATGTAGAATTATTGTAGAGACACTGACACTACCCTGGATGTAATAAAGGCCTGAGTGTGTCATAAACTTAGGAGTATATTTCTAGGAGACCCTCCCCCAGTTTGAACTGTGAAAATGAGACAAAGAGAGGTTAATGTTGAGTGGAAATTCCTCAGGGCATGCCTGGGTGGGAGTCTCAAAGTTTGTAACTAAATAACTTTGGTTTGGAAGGGAGATGGACTTTTATGACCCTCAGGAAGGCACGTACATAGAGATATACGCACATAGTGCTTTAACTGTAACGTAAAAACATCCACACGCACACTCACTCACGTACACTCACATAGACATACAGGTATGCGCACACACAGGCACTCACGTGCTCGTGCACATAGACACAGACACACGTGTGTGTGTGTGTGTGTGTGTGTGTGTGTGTGTGTTTGTGTGTGTGTGTGTGTGAGTGATTTACATTGCTGTGCTTGAGAGCCACCATCTACCGGAACCAAATTCCTTATATGTGTCTGCACATATACTTGGCCAATAACTACAATTCTGATTCTGATTCTGATTCTGATTTGCCACTAAATTTTAGCTGTGAAATTATGTTTGTAGGTCACATTCACAAAGGTAGGATAGTTTGGCACTTAATTTTAGCCTTCAGAGTACTTTTCTAGCTAATATTCACAAAGGTAGGACGGTTCGCCACTTAATTTTGTGTTGTGCGCATGCGCAGAAACAACGGGTAGGATGGTTTGTTCAGTTAGGATGGATTCCCAGAACACCGGCCATCGCGAACACCTGGTCTACGTGGGCAGGGACCTCACGAGGCTGGGAAGGCCGGTGTTCCAGATTAACTGGGGTCGCACATTAACTGGATTTGGTCGAACAGATGTGTGGCAGACTTGCGTGTCAGGAGCTGCTACCGACAAACCAGCAAAAAAACGCCAAATGTGTCATCTGTGACACTTGTGAGGTTATCTCAAACACACTCCGTCAGTCTTGATGCTGTTGGACAAAAAAAAGGTTTAAAAATGTCGCGAGTTTACCTGTTGATATTCTTATGCGCGACGTGATCGTGAAAACAGCAAACAATTAACACCACGCCGATGTTATTCACAGGACAGCAAGAGTAAACGATCGGCAGAATCTAGTCGTTGTTATCATTCCCCACCTACGTTTTATTTCTCTGATTTCAGTGCTTTTGCTTCACAACTAAAGCGTGCAGTTTGCTTTGTGTGCACTAAAATGGACTCGAATCAACCAGCGCCACGTCTGGCCAAGTGCCATAGCCTACGGCCAGATCAACTTGTGACACACATCTGCACCACGTTTGAATTCATTTCATGCACAATACATTTGTAACTTTCAATTGTGTCTGTTTGTGTGTCATGCAAATAAACCTTTGAAATGAATGAAATGATGTCATGTAATTATTATTGGCCTACATTTGTAAAACATCTGAAATTTATTCTACATACACAAGAGACCCATGACTCTCAAATATTGTTCTCAAATCTTTATAAATCTGTGTTAGTGAGCACTTTTCCTTTACCAAGATAATCCATTCCACCTCCAGTGGCGTGTCCAGTGGTGGCCCCCAACCAGACTGGCCACCCCAGGTGCCACGCCGAAGCTAAAACAATAAAATTCATTCAAATATCAAATGTACGATTATGTTCTCACAGTGAAGCCCAGGTATCCAAGTGTAAGTGAATGCAGCATCGGCTTCTGCACTATGAGCATCAGGTTAGCAAAAGAAGGAGAGCACGAAAGACGGCACCGCAGAAAACAATTTTTCGGTGAAAGAAAATGAGGAAAGAATAAATATCCCGGAAAGTAATATTAAGTTTGTTCAGTTTAGTAAACTTCGGTGATATTAGAATATCAAGGAAAAACTAACACTTGTGGAATTAAAGGAATTATTTTACTGCTACAATATATCCTGCATCATTAACATTGCATTAATCATATAATCTACAGCATTGATACTGCATTAAGATGTTCAGTAAAACCTGCTGGCCTCACATTAAGCTTTTTATTACAGGTGCAGCCATAATTATTGTATACACACATTGCATTTTGTGCTTATTAAAGAGTTGAAGCTCAGTCAATTAATTAAAGGTCATAAGCTTCGTTCGGCGCGATGTCCGGACAATCTATTGTGTAAGTGACTTGGAGCTATAGAAGGTTAAAACTGCATACACACTTACAAAACACATATAGTACATATAATCTAGAAACAGGCCTGAGCAAAGGCCTGAATCTATTCAGCAACCTGTTGCGTTTGAGTTTGCTTAGTAACAGGTGACAGAAGATGTGCTAAAGAAGAGGACAAGTCCATGGGGACCTCAAGGGCCTGAAATTATCGCCATATTTGGAAGAAGATGCTAGAAAGGGGAACTTCTGTGTCTTCATTTAGCTCTTAAAACTGATCATTGTCTGTAAAAGATGCAAATAATTTTCTTAAGATACAAATAATGTTCTTTTTTTGATTTGGTTTTTTTTTTATACTTTTTATTTATTTAGGAACATTTTTATGCAGAAAAAAACAAACAAAAAAGACAAAATATTATGAGGTCATGGGAAGACAATATATGCCCGTGTATACAGCTGCACATCCACACATACATATATCAATA